ACAAAACACCCCGCCCCTCCGAACAAAACAAAAACAAATCAAGTGCTTAATTTCAAAAGCAAAATAATAAAAAAATGTCCTATCTAGAAAAATTATTTCAAATTCAAAAATACTTTATTGATCCCAAAAGGAAATTAAATGTTGTTGTAACTCAAATCAATTAAATTTCTTCAAAAAGTTATTGTAGATGAATGGTTTGTAAATACTTTATACTTAATATATTTATAAATACCTCATAATTAAAAGTAATTTATAAAACCATTTAAAAGAAAAGCAAATAAGATATTTATATTCAATAACAAAATTAAATTAAATAACTTACTGCAATGATCAAATAATGATAAAATAAAATAACACTCTCTACCATTATTAAAAACAAGCAAAGTTTGAAAGCAAAATGAAAAAATCAATCTTCAATAGGATGATGCCTACAAGCATTTTTACTGGTTCTACAATGTTTTGCTGAATTTGATCTTCAATACTCTTGGAAAAGTGATCCTAAATACAAGTTTGTACACTTAGAAATATTTCAAAGACAAACTACAACCTATAACACCAAAAAATGCTTAAAATGGAGCTCTCGCTCTGCATTTAATCTTTCTGCAAGCAGGTACTTCAGCAGGCACGCGGATACTCGTCTGCCTTGCCATCACAGCAGCTGAGCAGCTTAGAGGCTCCCACGCTAAGCAAGGCCCACATGATTCATTCCATGGAAAGCTATTGTCATTCACTCACTTAATCTCTCTGTCTGCCTGTCCTTCACTAACTCCCACATACACATATTTCTGCCTTGCACAAATGCTGAACAGGGAGCTCAAAGGAACTCAAGGGCAATGCTTTATTTCTAAAAAAAAAAAAAAAAAAAATGGGGAGAATTTTAATTAAATTTTGTGGTTTTTCTCATTTATTCTGCGCCAGCAACAATGAGAACTCTGTTTGTGTTTGTGCTGCATACTTTCAAAGTTGTTTGAGGTCAAATTCTCTAGAGAACCAAAGACAGCAGCTGATTTTTTTTCTCCTTCCTCAGAATCAAGAAAACATCTGGTTTGATCGACACATTTTCAGTGTTTCTATGGTGTGTGTTGGTGCTGGAGTGGGGAGGGAAAGTCAGTGTGTCTCTCCCCTTCCCTGCCCTTCCATCTCTCACCATCTGTGACCTCCAGTTGAGCCTTAGCGAGAATGCTGCCCGCAACGGTCAGAGCCTGGCAAATGTAGTAGCCGGCATCTGCTCGCTGCACAGATGAGATGGTGAGCTCTCCGCCGGGCGACACGGAAAAGCGACTGTTGGGCTGCTGGGGCTGGTTGGGGAACAGCAGAATCTGAAGGAAAGAGGGGAAACAAACAACCAATTAGAGAGAACACGAACGTGGTGCGCCTCGGACAAATTACAAAAATCAGCCATCCACGAGGCACGAACAAACACAGATGAGATTGTGCACACTTCCAAACAAAGACATTAAAGTGTTACAGCTAGAGTATGAGCAATTTCATCTCCTACTTGGCTAACCAAGCTCAAACTGCAAAACATGTCAACACTTTGCAATGTGTTTTTCTGAGGTATGCTAGTAAAAGATTTTGTGCTTGATGGCTTTATGACTTCTCTTCTCTCTGCTTTAACTAGATTGTAGAACAGTTCCTGCCCCGGCCCCCCCAAAGGTAAGGGAAAATCAATTCATTTTATAACTCCTGGCAAAGGAAACAAGACTTGCTGCTATTACTGTGTTGTGTTGCACAAAAAAAAAGTTTCTGCACCTCCTTTCAGTTTTACAAGAGTTTGAATTCTCTGAAGCATGCACTTCTCTGAGAAAAACAATATTATTCACCAATCAGCTTCTAGTTTTCTCAGGGCTTGTGCAAATGAATATCTACAACGTATCGTTTAAAAAATATTGCTGCATATTTTTGGTTTCGGAAGTTTTAGTCCTTATTAGCCCACATAAATCCGCCCCTGAGCATTGATGTATACATGCCAAACCCATAGGGGGCAGTGCAGCGCAAAGCCAAAACACTTCAATACGTATGTGTCAGTCTCTATCAGTCTCTCTATGAGACTGATAGATCAGACTTGCATAAAAAAAAAGTTTAAAAAAAAAGTCCCGATGACTTTTTCCAGTAAAGTCGAGTTGACTTTATTGGGGGAAAAAAAAACTGGGAAGTTGAATCATTCATCCTTCCTGTGGGAGGAACCCGAAGAGAACCCATGCATCCACAGGGAGAACAAGCAAACTCTGTGCAGAAAGACCCCGTGCTGGGAATTGAACCCAGGACCTTCTTGCTGCAAGGCAACAATGCTCCCTACTGCACCACTGTGCGGCCCTCCAAATTTCATTCTCCAAATGTTAAGCAAGAAGATGAAAAACAGAATTAGGCCTTATTTGTGCCTGTTTAAACTAGATTTAATTATACCTAATCACATCATTGTAACAAATTATGTTTGTTTAACTTAGCCGTCTCCACCCTAAGCACTCGTGAACTCCATTATGCTGGAGTGTGTTGAAAACGCTGCTTTTTAATTATCCCTAATTTGCACTCTGAGCAGATACCTTTGTATCTCGGCGGTGAGGTAGCGGACGTGTTGACAAACAGATGGGAAGACGTGCATCTGCGTGTCTAAGAAAGCTGCTTGCGGTGCATTCGGTTTGATTTCAGAGTGATGCATCAGTAATCTTAAGTTCCCGGTTACAGAGACGTGTGACGCCGCCTTAGGTCGCCCACAGGTGCGAGTGTCACTCCGGATCTCTGTGCGAACTTGCAACTTGATTCAGCCTCTAAAATAACTGTTTCGTAATTGTTAGCGTTGACTAACTGCATTGCGCAAGTCGAGTCGTATCTGCGGCTCATCGACAAGGCCCGACGTGCTCTTAATTGGCGCCGTTGTTGACCGTAGAGAGGACACCCAGGTATTTGAATCAGCTTATCTGCTGGAGAGAGGGATCGGATCGCTCTTATCAGTTCAGGTTCATGGAAAAGCGATTAGAGCTTGGCTGCTCGGCTGCTCTGTGGAACAAAGGTGTGGCTTTGTGTCTTTAGAGGAGATGCTGATGATAGATAAAGCACTTTGTGCCGCGGCGTGGTGAACAGAGGGAGCACTTGTACAAACAGTGGAGGGAATCCAAACAAATCAGTGTTAACGACAGTTAACGACACGGCGCTTTACAGATATAGACACCGCTTGGAAATGTTCCCCATTTTGTCACAGTGCAACAGCAAACTTCATTTCACTGGGATTTTTCATGGTGGACCAATCAAAGTAGAGCGTGATTGTAGAGGGTAAGGAGAGGAATGCATGGTTTTGAAATGTCTCTCTACATAAAACTAAGAAGTGAGGTGTCTAATTCTAACTCAGTCGGTTTTTGACTAATTTTAGACAATTGGCTGTCCGCTTTCAAATTAGGAGCAACAGAGTAAAAGAGGTTGAATGCAAATTCGCACCACACCTTTTGGGATTTTTATTTATAAAAAAATAAAACTATGATTGTTTTTCCTTCCACTTTATAGTGTGCTGGTCTATCACATTAAAATCCCAACAAACACAGGCATATTCTCCTCAGTGAATGGGGTATTTCTGTAATATCCCATTCACACTGAGTGTGATATGATTCAATGAGTTATGAATACTTCTGGAAGGTTTTGTGTATATTTGGGATGAAACGATTAATCGGATTAATCGTGATGAATCAATTACTGAACCAATAGTCGACTTACTTAATAATTGATTAATAGTTAACTGGAGTAAAAAAGAAGAAGAAAAAGACCATTTGCTGAAAGAATGTCACACTCGGAGCAGTGAACATTGCCAAAACTGCATAAATAAAAATATACATTTTGTATTTAGATTTAACAAAAAAATGGTTAAATATGTTCTATCCATAACTCCTCAAAGTTGTGTTTTTTTTCTATCCAGAAAAAACACAGCTTTAATTTCACCTGGTTCAAATTTGTAAAAATAAAAATAAAAAATAATAATTGCCTACTGAGCAACTTTTGCTATCTAATTATAATTTGCTTAGTTGAAAAAAACAACAAAAAACAACAACTCATCTCTCCAGCAAAAAGGGTGGAGCTTTTCACATATTTAGCTGCAGATGCCTCTTTTACTACAAACAATCCAACATTCACTAATGCTGTTGTTGCGATTTAGACAATAAAATATTTACTTTTTTGTTTGAAAATGAATTGAATATTTGCCTATTTGCGTCTTTTACTGTATTTCTAATATTGTAAGAAAAAGAGGCTCAAATCTGAAAAATGTGCCAATTTTTTATAGTTTTCACAATAATCAATCAAATAATCGATTGAATAATTGACTGAATAATCAATTACATGAGCTACTGCTAAAATAATCATCAGTTATATAATATAATAATCATGGTGTATGTAGTGAACAGTGCTTTAATAATGCCGGTGGAATAAAATCACCACACGGTTTTTTTCATGGTGAGTTCAGGGTGTGTTGTGTTCTTACCTGACTTCCCTCCTTCTGCCAGAAAACTGCCGGCTGGGGATTTCCTTTGGCTTCACACGGGAAGGTGGCAGTGCGGCCTTGTGACACGATCTGATCCCGTGGGCGGATGACAAACTGGGGTGGAGCTGGAGTCAAAGCACCGATGCGACAGTGTTAGAAGGTTACTGGGTAGACTGGGAGCTGGAGAAGTTCAAGCAGAAACGAGCAGCAGTGCAGAAAGGAAAACAACGCTGCGTCCAGAGCTTCCATGCAATTTCAACTTTGTTTTTACTCTGAACAGAGAAGAACACCAGGGACTGACAGTGCCATGGTAACCAGATTGGCCATTCATTCAGGTAAAGGCTGAATCTGAATGAATGACAGTCACAGTGGCATTCACACAACGAGGTGCCTCAGTCACAATGGCATTTAAATCTGGGACAACACAAAGGCACAGCCATGCCTTCAAAACGTTCACACTTCAGATTTAGATGGAGGAAGGACTAAGAATACTGCTGTATCAAACCAAGAACACGACTGTTTGTGTGTTCAAAGCCCCGTTCTTAAAGAAAAAGGACATGAGCGAAATCGGCTAAGATTTGCCCAAAAACATACCGGCAGGCCTAGAGAGCAATGGCAAAACATTTTATAGACTAACAGAAAACAGATTGTTCTTTTAAGATTCTTACAGTTTATCGGACGAACCCCCAAACACTGAATATGAGTCATGATGTTCAGTGAGGACCATGCAGTGGTCAGCTCAATCTCCAATATAACAAGGGGGGGTGAAATCAAACACGTTGTTTCTGAGACAAAGTGGAGAACTGCGAAGGAATGTTGGAATGTAGTTTAACTTTCATCAATTGTGGTCGATTATTTGAAACACAGATGTGGAAAAGATTCCAGAAGCAGCACTTAATCTCAATATTAGTTTAGTTATTCCCAGGAATATAGAGGAGGATTAAACATGAAACAAAACAAAAAAAGAATCTGACTCTAATCTAGGATTTATCACTTTCTGTCAGAATTCTGGGCACAATGACAAAGATGAGCTGTGCCACAAGGAAAAATGTCAGATTTAATGGTTTTTTTTTTTGTTTTGTTTTTTTTACATGAGAGTTTAAAGTCAGAATTCTGAGATTAAAGTCTGAATTCTTTTTTTTATGGCCCTTATTATCTTCCACACAAAATATGCTAATCTTCAAGTATTTTTCAGTTTTTGCTGTAAGTATTAGACTTTTTAAAGAAAAAAATGCTAATCCTGTCATTTTTAGCACCCTTACGTTTCTTTTTGCATCACTTCTACAAAGAATACAATAAATTTGACTTACTTACTACGTCTTTCCGTTTTCGTTTTGAATCGACTCTGTTGTGTGTATGACAAAAGCCGTTGCCGTTTTTAATGTATTTGGACCTTCTGTCTCTGAACAATACTGTACATAAAGCTGATTGTTGCATTTGATTTTGCAAAGTGAACTTGTTTTCCTTTTGATAGCCAGCAGGAAAAAAAACTCCTTTGTTTGCAAAAAAAAGAAAAAAAAAAGAAAAAAAAGCTGCTTGTATTGAAGTCAGTAGAACAATAAGCCCAGCTCTCCTTTGATTTATTACCTCAGAGAACAATTGCACAAAAGCTTTACAAATTGCTTCTTTCAAATCTTCTTACAGGCACGAAATGTTCAGATGTTGGTGCTTAATTCGCTTACTCCAAAATAAATTTCTGTCAGGACAGTAATTGATAGCATTTACTCTGACAACATACCAGAGCCATTGTAGTTAGAAAAAGGGGA